ACTGTGGGTTAGTTATGTCTTTCACCGGAATTTTCTTAAGGTTGAATTAGGGTGATATTTAAGAGAATTTGCTAACTCACAAAAGAAGCTGGAGGTTCACTGTCTTCTACTGGCAGATCAGACACATGGAGCTTCACCTGACGCATCAAAAAAAAAAAGGAATATTTCAAAATAAAATCATCAGTTTCCTAAATACAGCTTTTAAGGAAACTGTCCTTTTAAGGCATGAGAGCTTGGAATTAAACTGACACTGAGAAATCAGATAGGAAGTTACAGTGTCCTCTATTCTATAGAGTATTTCCCAGAGCTGTAAGAAAAAGTTTTCATCAAAAACATTGTTACCAATGTTATTATCATTAATCAACTTCAGCTAAAATCTCTAAACTTATAGGGCATGACAAGGAGTTGTACATATTACATACATTATCATACAAATGTACATATTATTATATCCTTTGGGAAATTTGCCAAAGAAATAAGGAATCAACCTGTAGTCAGAAAGAGAGAGAGAAAGAGAGAAAGAGACATTTGGTGTCTGCCCTCTTTGTTCTCTTCATTCTCTTTGTATTTCTTGAATCCCAGCAAAGTAGCCTCTGCATTTTAGGGATTCTCTTTTGCATTTAACAAAAGGCAAAGGAGAATTTTCTGAATGTAGTTGCAGAGCCCACGATCCTTGCTATCCACTAACCAGTGGAGTGGATTTATAAAACACTGCTGGGTAAAATGACAGAGAGATGGTTAGGATGTGAGAGTGAGAAATCACACAGCAAGGCCATGGTAAACACAGCCCAAATTATCGTCACCTCTTGGGGTTGAACAGCCTTCACCGCCTGAAGTCTCCTCTTCTGTTTGTGTGCCCTGTAATTGAAAATGTGTCTTATAAATTGACTTAGCAGATCCTTCAGCAAGGTGGAGAAACTAAGTAGAAGATTACAACTTCCTCTGCCCATTTTGCCATCCTTGGCAATTGACTGGGTTTTTATCTGCCCCATTAGACGTTCTTCAGCTTTCAGTTTCCTGTTAGCCACCTTCATTGTCCCGTAACTCAAAATCGCCACCAGGAATTTTCTTTTTCTGATTCTCTGCAGAAATTCTCCTAATAATTTATTATTAGGAGAATAATAGAGTAATAGGAGAATACTAAGAATTATTATTATTCTCCTAATAATGGTGGTGTTGAATACAATCTTTATCTAAATTATGTCATTTCACTAATGGTTTCCACTATTCATTCAATATTTATTAAAAACTCATTATGGGTGAATAAGTTGGTCTTTAAAAATGCTAAACTGATACTGTGGGGTCAAGATCATGTTTGTAGGACAAACAGATGAAGGTGAAAATCAAGGCTCCATCATTTACTTTGCAAGACTGAAAAAAATGTTTGTTAACCTCTGAGCTAATTTCCACATCGTCAAAATGTGAAGTCCCTAACCTTGCAGGACTGTGTAAGGATTACTCTAAAACCTTCATATCTATAAAATGGAAATAACGGTAACCACCTCAAAGTTCTTGTGAAGAGGCAAAGAGTTGACAGATCTGAAAGGGCTTAGCATAGTGTTTGTCACATAGTTATTGATCCATAAATGCTGTTGCATTCTTATAATACATGTAGAAATCTTTCATAATGAGAGTTAATATCACTCTTACTCTTGATTATAAATACAGTGACTAATAGTAGAAAAAGATACATTTCTTGCTGTGAAAGATTTTGCAGTAAAAGGGATATCCAACCTTTGGTCTAAGAAGGCTAGATCTGTATGTATTTCTGAATATTTGAAGTCAACAAAAATTAAATGTGAAAGGTTAGGTCAAACCCTTAAATTTAAAGTAAAACAGGGGTCAAACAGTCCCCAAAGGAAGATCAAGGCTTACTTCTGAACTTTCTTCTGCTTTCCTCCGGAGCTCTGGTGCCTGATTACTATGGCAACCACCACAAAGATGACCGCCACTGGGAACAGCACCCCAACCACAATGGAGAAGTCTGCAACAAAGAGAACAGGGGCCTACAGAGGATGTGTGAATTTCACATTGACCCATTAGTCCTTATTTCTTTATCTAGAGCAAATTCCATTAACCCTTTCCTTAATGAACATGCATTCCCTGGAAAATCTCTCATAGCTGGTAAAATGAAAGTGTATTTTGATATTATATTAATATTTAGTTAGAGAAAATAAAGGGGAAATCTATAGGAAGTATTTGATGAGATAAATAAATAATGATACTACTGAGAATTCTTAGAAGGGATGATATTTGTAATAATTGAAAAACGAAAGACCAGGAGATTAGAAGAGAATAAATAGTAAGGAGGAGGGCAGAGAGAAGAAGTAAAACATGTTTGAAAAGCAGTACATTAGTAAAGGAATTGAGAGAGACATAACTGAGTTTTCCACTGATATTTGTTCTATGTTGGAATTTTTTTTCTTTTCTTTTCTAATTCAGGATATTATGGGGGTACAAACATTTTGGTTACATGAAATGCATTTGCCTTGCTCAAGCCAGGGCCACAAGCATTTCCTTCCCCCCATACAATGTGCCCCGTCTCCATTAGCTGTGGGTTTACCCACCCCACCGCTCTACCCCCACTACCTGACCAGCACCCAGTGAGTATTAGTACCTTGTGAGCACCTTAGTGTTGATCAATTAGTACCAGTTTGATGTCAAATACATGTGGTGCATGTTTTTACATCGTTGTGATACCTCGCGTCGAAGGATGGGCTAATCTCTATCCAGGATAATATGAGGTGCTAGATCACCGTTGTTTTTTGTAGTTGAGTAGTATTCCATGGTATACATATACCACATTTTATTAATCCACTCATGTACTGATGGGAATTTGGGTTGTTTCCACATCTTTGCAATTGTAAGTTGTGCTGCTATAAATATTAGAGTGCAAATGTCTTTATTATAGAATGTCTTTTTTTCCTTTGGATAGATGACTAGTAGTGGGATTGCTGGATCAAATGGTATTTCTATTTTTACCTCTTTGAGGTATCTCCAAATTACTTGGCACAAGGGTTGTACTAATTTGCAGTCACACCAGCAGTGCAAGAGTGTTCCAATCTTCCCACATCTATGCCAGCATTTGTTGTTTTGGGACTTTTTGAAATGAAATGGAGACAGAACCAAATCCTCAATTTGAAAGGCCTCAGAAGTTAACAATGTAATAGAAAGATAATGGCACTCAGGAATAGACTATATGATTAGTTTTCATTAAGTAGTAATTCTAAAAGCATCTAAGCAAAAACAAACATAATGATTTTTAAAGGGTTTTATTTAACATCAACAGCTGGCCTTGGTTTTTTTAACATTAAATATCCAGCATCCCCTTCAATAGAATTATGAAAGCAAAATTGTGATTTAAAAAAATCCAATCCAATCCAACCTGCTATATATTCTATGATATATAATATTAATAGAAATATTCAGCAGCAGAAATAAATTCTCATAAATGCAAAGAAAGTTTAATGTATACACATCCTTCCAATAAAGAAGAAATTACTCATGGAAGTGATTTAGCAAATCAATGGGTAAACCAAAATAAAGAGTTCAAGAAGAAAGATGTCATAGTTTAAAAGGATTTTTAGTGAGCACTGAAACCATTAAAAACTTTTCTAATTAAAGTAGTTGATTATGTTCATGTACCTATCCCCGTACTCTACCCAAATACATGACAAATATGCACGTGTGTATATAATAAAATTGTAGAGCACTAGGAAAATTAATAATTTTTTAAAACTCCACATAGATAGGAAGTTAAGGGATATATAGAGATAGAAACAGAGTAAATTATAGCCTAAACGTCAGAAGTAAATGCTATTCTTTTTTTGGAAAGCCAAAGAATTGGAATTGGGGGCATATAGTTCATTCGGGTCCATCTCATCCCCTGTGTATACAGAATAAGATTGATTCATGACCCTAGGACGTATCTCCAAGAATCTCTCTTAGAAGCAATGGAGGGATGGAGAAGTTTGTAAAACATGACCTACGGAAGGCCACTGAGGAGTCACCGCAGTCGGGAGGGGCCCATCCTTCTTTGCACTGACACTGGAGCTCGTGGTCACACACCTGCAGGAGCAATGATCCTGTTAGTTTTCTCACTAGTCTGACCACAAACTCCAAGGCCCTGTTCTTCCATAATAAAATCCACTGGGAAACATAAATAACTCCTGATCTCCAGGCTGTCATCTATCTACATGAGGTATGAATGAATCACAGCAATTTCATCAACAGGATCTCAGAAGAAATTTCGCATCGAACCATGCTACTGGAGGGACGTTGGACAAATTTAATAATCCTAATTATTGAATGCTGAAAACATTACTTTAGCTTCTTCATGACTTATCTAAAATTACATAAGATTTAGCAAGTGTAGGGAAACATATCTTCAAAACTCACAGCATGTCCTTTGCACTTAGATGAGCAATTGGTTGATTTGTAGGCTGTCTCGACATCCACGCATTCTGCATTGATGCAAACCTGAAAGTGGTTGGAAAAACATGTAGTCGACATTAATGTCCAATGGCTTCAGCTCTGCAAATGGTTGACTCTTTGGAATTTAATCTCATACTATTAGTCACTGTGATTTTTATCAAACTCACCTTTTTATTAGGGAAATCACAGCATTTTTTTTGCAAACAGAAGATAGAACCCGATAAATTTTATACTAAAATATTTAGAAAGCCCTCTTTAAAGCTTTCTTTCCTTTAGTTCATTTCTCACGGATCATGTGCTGAATCCACGGCTTCGGTCTAACACTTTAGACTAATATTTAGCACTGAATTAAGCATTGCACATAATATGAGATGGCCATACCAAATAAAAATATTATGGAAAATATATGCCATCACATCATGTGCAATATTAAAATGATTATAATTTACGTAAAAAGAAATAGCGTTGCTATTTTTCTCTTCATTAACATCAGATTGTCTATCAGACATTGAGCACCTACCGATTCTGGCACATTAAAATTGGCAAAGTTTAACAACCTAGTGCTAAGCACATCATAGGCATGTATTAAAATATTATTGAAGGAATGATTTCAGGCATGCCTAAATAAATGTCAAAAGAATTATTTTGAAAACTGTCCTCCGTGGAACACAAGGAGGCATCCACAGGTTTGGAATTTGGTGCCCTTCCCACACCCCACTTTTCCTAGAGCAACTCTACTTTTATTTATTTTGTGCATTTGGGCTTCCTCATAGGATTTCATTTAAATGAAAGGTTCTACTGCTAAAAGTAAGTGTGAAAATTTCAACATTCAACATCCAAATTTATTGAAGCTTCTGTTCCTCATTCAAATTGTTTAACACGCATGGCAGATAGTATTGTTTGCCAAAAGATGTCTGACCTTGTCAATAAATTGGACATTCATGTGCTTCATGGGTTAAGTGGGGCCTTCTTTAGTTCCGAGGGTGAATTTTAATGAACATAGGCCAACTGTGGTAATGCCTTTTCCCTTGTCACGTATTGGTTTGAGGATGGGTGGATGATAAAATTCTGGGGAATAAAAAGTGGTATCAAATCTGGTGGAAAGTGTTTCCAAGAAAAATTTCTTCCCTGGTAAGAAAAGATGCACTTTCTTTTACTTTCAGCCTCTGACATTACTACCTGGAAAGTGGGCAGCAATCTGGGCCCATGAGTGTGGCAACCTGAGTGGGCATGCGCTGGAGATGGCAGGAGGCTAAGACAGAAGGAACTTGGGTAATCGATGATGACGTTGTACCACTGAATTAACCACGTGGTCTTCCTCTATCTCTGCATTTGTGGTTATGTCAATTAATGAAGGTCCTAAGTGTGTAAGTCCATTTTAGTTGGTTTTCTGTTCTTCTGCAGCCTAAAGCATCCTAACTGATAACAACATATGAAGTGGTATTAGAGTGTGGCAGGATTTGTAAGAAAAGAAATATTATAAAATCAGAAACAAATTATGTATCTGATTAAAGGGGGGAAGAGAGCTTGTAATTAAGAAGAAAAAAAAGTGAAATGGAGCGACTAGCAGAAGTCATGTTATGCAAACAAGCGTTGAATAAAGAAATACAGGCCTTGAAATTGCATCTCTCTGGATGTAGATGGGAAAGGTGAGATATATGTCAAGAGGCTAAAAGATACTGTTTAAAGCGGCTCCGGCATGTAACTGTTCTGGGAGGAGGCAAAGAGGTGTAAACCTCATCGTTGTGTCAGTGTGGGAGGGGATCAGGTGCAGGGGAAGAGTGAGGGAGAGGGACTCTGTTGCTCATGGTATTCCCTTTGTTAAATCAACCCAGAAAGGTTGATAAAGTCTATTTAAGCATTTATGTATAAAAAAAATCCAGACCACTCTGTATCTCAGAAGGAATGTCTATACAAGAAGTTAAGAGATGAGTAACGATAATAAGATGATCTTAATGCCAGGGGACCCGGGAACACCCAAATTCTGCCTTAGTCCAAGTATCCCTACTCCCTTAAGGCCCAAGCACTGCAACACTCAAGCCAGGTCATGTGAGGATGTCTCAATGTCCTTAAAACCTTCACCACTAGACAACATAAAGGAATTAGTATTCGAAACCTGGCACCTCCAATTAAGGAATTCTACTGTATGGGAAATTTCTTGCCCTTGATGCTGACATATATTTCAGGAAACACTGGGGGAAAAGGAGGTTAAATCCTGTGAGTACCTCTTGGAGGCAAGAACTAACATTCCAATTTCATATGAGCAGCATAAATGTTATAAACATTTCTACATTTACATTTTCAGCTTCATGGGCTGAGAGGTCATGTCAATCCTATTCACTTTTTAATATTTCCTTTCTAAAACTTTTTATGAGCAATATCTATACTGAACCACACATTTTAGACTCATCAGTAAATAAATTTATATTTAAATAGCCAATACAGCTTAAGTAAATAAAATTGTCAGGATTGGCTTTGCCGTAATGAAAAATTAGGAAAGCTGATCTGGGCCATGTAGATACCTTAATGCAATAGAGTAACTAATCTCCATGAGAGAGGAACCTCCTCATTATCAAAGCTCATATGTAGGCCCTGGCTAAGTAGTACTTGTGCCTGAGATTGTGAATTCATTATACTCCTAATGATTGTACAAATCTGTTAATTGAAGCCCAGTATTACATACACTGGCACTTTCAGTGGGATTCCAGACCTCATCTATGAAAGCAGTGTGCTGTTATATGTTATCACACGGCAATAACATACTCTTCTTGAAATTATGTCTATGACAGTTATTTCCAAGTTTCACGATAATGTTTGAGAATATTTATAGCAATGCTTATTCTTGCTACGTGCTAGGTTCTCCATTGCTATCATTTCTTAAGTTACTCCTTGTGTTCCAAATTCAGCTGTTGTCTTAAGGCATGGTGAACCCCAAAAGTAAGAAATAAGGAAAGTAGGGAGTAGCTTAGAAGCTAAACAACAAAACATACCTTGTCGTCGCCACACTTGGTTCCGTTGGCCACCATGCCTATCTCTGGACTTGTGTCTTCAGGATCAAATGCTTTACATGTCAGGAAAGTTATTACACGTCCTCTCCAGAGTGCATAATTTGACCCACCTTGACAGAACAACTTCCCACACATAGAATCACTGAGGAAAATCCAAAATGTATTTCAGGATTGAAACTGCACTTTTACGCAAAAGCAAATCATCTCTGTGACTATCCACGTTTAGTTAATGGTATTTCTCCCTGCAGCAGACTTCTGGTTGTACTTTATACCCATTTTTCCCTTATTCCTTAGCAATAGGATCCCTGAATGTTAGCAAATTACATTGTTGCTCACATAAACGGCATTTCCCTGATCCCTGTACAGCTCCTTTTTGCATATTTGCCTAAATTCTGACCCATGGGAAGGAAGGAGAATCTTAAGTGCAAATTTCACAGGGTGGCCTTAAATGAGAAAGTATCTTCTATTCCTCAATGTTTACTCATTTTTGCTGCTTGGAGTGTGATAGCTTGTCCTGGACAAGCCATCACAGATTAAAGAAACACTTGGACAGGTAGGTCATATGCATGATGAAGCTAGAAGACAAAAGAGGACCCATTTCTAACATCATGGAGGGCACCTGAGAAATCTGTTTCTACCTTGTTTCACATAATGCCACTTATTTATTTTTGTGACTTGCAGCAGAATGATTTTAACAGATAAAAGCCCATCTCTCAACTAGAGTTTTGTCAGTACAAAGCAGTGTGTCTCTTGATATTTCAAAGCATCAAGTGGGGTTACCAAAAGAACTGTCTACCTGTAACTACAGATTAAACTGCTCAACACTCAATAAAGCCATTCATTTACCACAAAGGGGAATAAAGTCAAAGCCAATAAAATTGGAGTCAATTGCTTCATGCAGAATTCAGAGGAGGGCTTTGAAAAAGTATTCTGAAAGTGATGGAGTCCTATTTTTCTGATGTCTCTGGCAGCTATTGAAAATATGTTTGAGGAGTGGAGAAAGGAATGCACTCTCTCCAAATGTGAGAGGATGTTTTCTTGAATCATTTAGGTAGAGCCCTATAACTACAGCTCTAGGTCACAGAGAATTTCAAGTTAACTCTCTACTGCCACCATTGACTATTAAGACTAGCAGGGCAGTCTGTGGGGCGAATGAGATGCTCAAGCCCCTAGTCATAGACATTATCCAATGCTCATGCAGAAAGCTATACAGGACAATAGTGTATGCCCAGGCTGCAGAGGTCAGATGGAATTACCCTACCATCTTTCCAATAAGCACTTACACATTGCATATCCCCTGATACCACATATTGCCTTCCACACATTTTTTCCTCTTTGAATCTACCTTGATTTCCTATATAGGATATGGTTGTCCTGTAGGTCCAGATTCCCCCAAGAGATGACACTATATCCAGAGTATAGTTTGTTTGTTAATGTCCGTCATCCAGTAAAATTATTGTCCGACAGAAAAACTTTGGGAAATGCTGATCTTATTCAGCCTCTTGTTATATATTACTTTGTATGTGTAAAATTTGCAGCAGGTACAAAGTTTAATCTATTATAATTTGAATGTTAAAAGCCATCTTAAAATTGAAACATAAAAAGGGATAGAAAAAATCTCAAGTGTATTTGGTGTGATAGTCTACAATTTTTTTTCCCAGGACATCAATACTACAAATAACAAACTCTTCAGATGAATTGTCAATCTTTTCTCTTGCTCTAGTTTTTCTTTATGTAATTCCGTGGCAAGTTTAAATAAAACTGTACAAGAATTGTATTAGTTATTTCTCTGAGTAGATAAATGTTTCTACTCTTAGACTCGTAATGAAAAACACTAGATTGAAAAATCCCCCAAAGTATATTCTGGGAAACTTCTGGACAAATTTCCAACCAGGCCCACTCCCTGTTGCACGGTTCATCTCAAACATTCATTCTTCTTAATGATCGTACATGGTGCCACTTAAGGACTGTACTTGTACATGGCCCGAAGCACCCACCATGAGGGACCTGAAGAAAGAGATAATTTCTTATTTGTCTTTTTAGACAAGCCCACCTGGCCCATAACATGGCCTATAGTAGTCACTCAATAAATGTTTGTCAAATAAATGATGTCCAAATTCACTTTCCCTTTAACTCAGGATGTGTGGCTGGAAGTGTGTACCACTGCCCTGGTCTGTGGAGCAGGAAGGTTCACACGAGTCCACTTACTTAGCTTTACAGGGGATGACTGTGTCGTCCACTTTGTGACAATATCCATACTTGGTTCCACGTTCATTCGTTCTGTAACACGACTTATCTGCAACCTCGCTTCCTGGGACCAGGCATGGTCAGTGGGGACATATTTGGAAAGAAAAGAGATAAGAAATTCAGGGCTGCAAAGGATTCATAAAATATAAAACCAGCATGAAATGTACTATTTTAGCTTGACCACTCTCAGAAATATAGGCTGCAATACCTTGACATCAAAGGAACTAGCCGGAATTAAAAATAATCTTTTAAATATTCTGTTATTGGATAATGGCTATCTACATTTTTTTGAAACATCTGCATAATTTACTGGAGGTTAAAAATTTATCTAAATAGGAAGACTTAGCCAGAAGACCTATAGTCACTATGTCAACAGCCCATAGGCAGACACTCAAAGGCTACCTTGCAGGTATGTGCTACTGTGACAACTATCAGCTCTGCTGAATCAAGCTCCTACTATGCACCAGGCACAGTGATAAGCATCACAAATTCCATGTCTCATGTCATCATCCTCAGATCTCCATCATACAGGCAACAAAACACAGTGTTTAAGAGCTCAGGCTTTAAGCAAGACTGAGCAGCCGTGTGAACCTGGTCCAGTGTCTTAACCTCTCTATATACGATAGTTCCTACCTTATAGGGTTGTTGTGAAGATTAAATCAATTAATATTTGTGAGCCACTGAGAAGAGTGTCTGGTCAGTAGCATGTGGTTGACAAATATTATTGTCATTCTCATTTTTTTAAATAAGGAAAGCGAGACTCATATTAAGTCAGAGATAGAGAGATGAAATGTCAACTTCATGCCCGGTTCTATCTGAGTTGAAGACCTATGTTCCCTCTCTGTGCTAGGCTGCCCCACTTCAAGGTCAATAAACAACTTTGTCTTAACCACTGGCAATTTTGAATTTAGTCTTTGACAAACAACAAACCAGGTTAAAGTAACCAAAAACCTGGGAGGATATTGCATTTGTTTTCAAGAAACATTTTTAAACTTATTATACTGATTTGTAAACTCCAGCTATTTCACATGATTTTGTGTTTTAATGTTCAAGATGATAAAATAAATTTTATCATACTTTTCAATTATTTGTATCCTGGTAACATTTATTAGTTTCTTATTATAATAAAATATCTACACTGAAAAAAGGAATAATTAGCCATGAATTATCAGGGAAAAGCATGACATTCCTAATCCCATCATATTCATAGTTATTGCTGCTAATATTGCAGAAAGTATCATTCATATACCTGGTACCATGCTGCTTCATAACTTGCTTTTTCGCAATTAACAACATGCTCGATATCATTTCCCCAGGTGTTAAACATTCTACAACATCATAGCTGCAATAATAGCATTGAATTAATACACTATAATTTATCTGACTAATCCTGACTCTTGGATTTTGAGATGTTTCCCAATTATCCACTATCATTTAAAAAATGATGACTGAAATATTCTTGTAAATAAATATTCCTGGGTACAACTACTAAAACAAGAAGTACAAAGCATTTTTTTAGGCTGTATTTGCATTTTTCCAAATTCTCCCTGTAAAGATTATGCTAATTCGTATTTTTACCAACAGTGAAACTAGGTGTTTTGTTACATCCTCATTGAGCATTAACAAATCTTTGCCAATTAACAAATGTAGAAGATTAACTTGTTTTCATTCATATTTCTTATATTGCTAGTGAGTTAAAATGATTTTAACTTTTATAAGGCATTTATATTTCTTCTTCATGATGAATTGCCTGCTTATACCTTGGCTATACTTCCTTGGAATTACAATTCATTTGTAGGAATGATTTGATGCTAAAAAGAATGATTTTTTTATTACTTATAAATTTACAAGATTTTTCAAACTTTTCAGATTTAAAATAAATTTATGATCTTGTATAGATTATAAAATTTGGAATTCTATTCAGGCAAATCTATTTCTCTGGCCTTTTATAATGGCTGCCTTTAAATGTATGATTTAAAAGGTCTTCCCAATAAATAAATAAATAAATAAAAGGTCTTCCCCAGTTCAGTATCAGATAAATACGTTCCGTGTTAATTCAAAAGGTAATTTTGAACGTTTAATAAAGGCAAGCAGGCACTGTGCTAGGAAATGATGGGAATACCGAAGGGTCCCTGTACTCGGAATTTTGCAGACTTGCTAAGGAGACAAATAACAGAATCAGGCAAAGGAAGGTAACAGGTAACGTTTTTTGCCGTCATTTAATATAAGATGATAAAGGAGATGCTAAGAGTTTCACCTCTGTGCTAAAGATTTCCTTTCCCCAGGTTTTTGCCAAATACTAAAGTTAGCGAAGGAGGCGTGGGGTCTTTAACCAGCAACACTAATTCTGTCTCCACTTTGAATGTAGCATATCCATCTGCAGGAAGTGGAAGCAGCATTGCCGAGGCCCCGCTCCAACCTACCAGTGCACGTCCTGATGCACTCACAGCATAGAGCTTTGCTCCTCGAATGCATCCCAGCCCACCCTTGCTGGACACAGAGGGTTTTATTGACAGAGTTTTCCAGGGTCTTGTCCAGTTATTTCCCAGGTTTCTTTTTTTTTTCTGGGTGTACTGTGAGTCAGGGATTTTTGTTCCTTTCCTCAATCTTGTTTTAGGTGTATTTTCAGGAATTATGAAAAGTTTCCAGAATGTAATGACTTTTTATAAATATATTTAGAAATATGTAGATTTTCTCTATTTTAGTAAATATTCCCTCGGCCATTGAAGCAGTAATTTGAAACTGTAGCATGAAAAAGTCTGACAATTAAATACATGTATACAATGCATATCATATCCAGGAAATTCTTTAATTGCCTTTCTTTTTCTACTGGAACTTTGTATTTATATTTGACTGACACCTTCCCAGCTCCTCCCCCCACACCTTGGTAACAAGCATACTACCTCCTACTTCTATGAATTCTACTTGTTTAGATACCACATATAAGTGAGATCGCTCATGTGATCTAAAATTGTCTTTCTAATGAAATCATTGACTATAATTTAAATTTTGGTTTAAAGTTTTGGGACATCTTCAAATTACACTCTTATTTTTGAAGTTTTCTTTATGCTGTAATCAGAAAATACAGTCTGTAAAATTGCATTGTTGTGGACAAAGTGATCATTGAAGAACTTTCACTTTTCTTCATTGCTTTCCTGAATTTCTCCTCCTTTCCTTACCTCTGGCCCATCCCCCAGCACTCCTGCCACCCCTCTATACACACACACACACACACACTCTCTCTCTCTCTCTCTCTCTCTCTCTCTCTCTCTCTCCCCAAGGGTTTACTTGTCTGAGAAGGATCTTAGTTAGGGCTCCCAGATAAAACACAGGACATCCAGTTTAATTTGAATTTCAGATATACAGAGGATTTTTGTTTAGTGTAAGTATATCTCAAATACTGCATGGGACATAATGACATTAAAACAAAAAGTTGTTGTTCATCTGAAATTAACGTCGTTATTTTTATTTGCTACATCTAGCAACCCTGAAACCGAACTTAAGTCTTTAAATGAACTTATCCATGATTTTGAGTAAGAAGCATCTAGGAGGAAGGGGACAGAATGGTCCTTTGGCCGTGATTATACATTGTCATCAGAAATGATTTTTCTTTGCATGTACAGAGAGAGACGGGTTTGTCCTCCTACCTGGTCCCCAGAGCTCGGTGCACTGGTCCTGCAGTGTGGGGCACGTCCCCATCAAGCAGTAGCCCATCCCGTTCTGGCAAGGGAAGCCATTGATTCGGAATCTATCCTCAGGACAATGATCAGATTTGCCATCACACATTTCAGGCAGGTCACACTCGTCTTTTGCTGATCTGCACACCTTCCCAGCCTTTTTAAACTGCAGGAAAACAAAACCAGAGAGGCGGCTTTTTCCCGCCTGCTTTGCCCTAATACCTCAAACTAACACAAATAATATTTTCCATTTGGCCTTTTTGGGCATGGTAGTTGGAGGCATCATTTCACTCCAGTTTATATTTGCATTGTATAAATTGAAGCCATTGCCTATTACTTCTGTTGATGTTGGCCAATGCCCTAAGTCTTTAAAGCAATCAATATTTCTGAATTTGTAGTGTGAACACTAAAGAAACATAATGTAGAAAAGTACAGGAGAAAAACCAAGCAACAACTTAGATACAAAGAAGGAAGTTATTTCTCCCTTTGTTGAATGTGTCTTTGTCAGGAATTTCAGGGAGATTTAAACCTGCAACTTCAGAGATTTACTGGCGAAGTATTAAGGAAGATAAGTTTACAAGCACCAGATCAGCATACTCTGAGGTTTTCCCAGGCCTCAAGTTTCCTAATCCTTAATTCCTTTTATTGTATGTTCAGATATTTCTTTTCAACTCACTTCTTCCTATGAGGGAGAAATAACCAAATATTCATTTGCGATATTAACTCCATAGTAATCTACTACTGCAGATCCTACTCTTATTTCCTCAGAGATCTTAGTAAAACAAACCCCGCCATTCCTGCAAATCTGAGGCAGCCTGTCTCTCTCCAGCTGATATGCTCTTTCCCTAGCAGGCATGCTCTTGTTGCACCAAATAACTTTCAATATCGTTATGTCAGTTACAGCATCAAATCCAAATTTCAGTCAGAGCATATGAGACTCTCCAAATTCAACCCCCATTGCTGCAGCCACACCAGCTTTTTTACCAGCTGCCACAAACCATGCTTGCACCTTCTGTTACGTCTTTGTTCCTTCTCTGTCCTCATTTGGAAATTCTTTCCTTTTTTTCCTAAATCTAAAATGTAGTCATTTTTTTTTCCAGGCCAGTTGAAAGCCTCTCTTCCTACGAAGCCTCCTCTGACCTCTTAAATGCAAGTCACTGCTCCTGTTTCCTCCCTGTGCTGGAGAAGAACCCTGAATTCAGAAATAGATGACACAGATTTGAATCTTGGCTCTGCCGGTGGCTAGGTGCTTAACCTTAGGAAATGGATTTGATTTCTCTAAAAATCCATTTCTTCATCTAACACCTACTTTATAAGGTTACTGTGAAAATTAGGTGAGGATGTACATGGAAAATATTGTATATCATTATACCATCAACGTGGGCATCTAACCATTCACTATATTTTCCTCTGTTTCATGTGTGTATATCACTGCCCTGAGGAAATAAACAGGAAGAGATTGAATTTTTTTATTTCCCATAATCTCTAACAAATAGCATTCACTAAACACTTGTTGACTACTACTTAAGTCCTCAAATTTCATCCTTTTGGCTTCCTTTATCTCTTTCCTCTCCCTCTGACATTAAAAAAAAAAAATTATACCAAACACTACCAATAACATGGTATGCCATCTACATATTAATTCCACAATTACTGACCACTTAAAATGCATGAAATTCTGTTCTAGGTGAAGGTGAATCAGTCTCCTGCCCTTAGAAGTCAATATAGCTAAGGAGACAGACACATAAATAAATGATCACAATATAGAATGCTATGCAACAACAGAAAGCAAAGTTAAAAAAAGAAAGAAAGAAAACGAAATATTAAACTCTGCCTTGAAGGAAAAGTTAAAAAATGGTATATTTTATTTCTAAGAATTTCACCCTGAAGTGACTTCAAAGGTTGAAGACGGGGACAGCCCCACACTGTTCAAAATAAAAGCTCTTCCACCAATCACATTGTTAAAGGCAGGTGCGATCAATTTTATGAGATTTGGCCCAAAAAGACCATGAAGCATCAGAAGAAACAGTAGGTAGGAGAAATTAGCATTGGCTTCAGAGCTGGTTGTGTTGGGTTTTCCCACTAAACAGTGGCTGTTTTATTTATTTTAAAAATTTTGTTATTTTATATATATATACATACATATATATATGGTACACATGATGTTTTGATATACACATAGTGAAATAATTACTACGGTCAAGCAAATTAATATACCCTTACATAGTTATTGTGTGTGTGTGTGTGTGTGCATGTGGTAAGAACACTTAAAATCTACTCTCTTAGCAAATTTCCAATATACAATTTACTATTGTGATCACATTGTACATCAGATCTCTGACCTTATTCATCCTACATAACTGTTACTTTGTGTCTTTTGACCAGCATCTCCCCATTTCCCTCACCTTCCCAGCCCTGGTAACCACCATTCTATTCTCTGTTTGTATGAATTCAACTATTCAATTTTTTTAGATTCTACATAGAACTGAGATCAATATGCCATATTTGTCTTTTTGTGCCTGGCTTATTCCACTTAGTACAATGTCCTCCGGGTTCATCCAGGTTGTCACAAATAGTGGCCATGTCACTTTGCCCATTTTCTGCTCTGAGTCTCCATTCCCTAAAAAGCAAAACACGATGATAACACCCACCTTGGAGGATCATTGGAAGATTATTGTAAATAGGTTATGTATGTAAAGCACTCAGAGAGTGCTTGATAAATGGTAAATATTATTTTACAGAAAGAAATTGCTTTGCCTCTTTCATTTAAATCACTGAGATGTTAATATAGAAAAAAACATAATTATAATTATTAAAATGAAATAATCATCTTACTTGGCATTTTTCACAGCATTCTCCTAATGCACATTGAAAACCTGCTTTGATTTTACAAGTTTCAGCGTGACAGCAAATGTTGGTACATTCCTAAGAAATATCAGAAACAAACACAGATGCCAGATGACTTTTTGCTCCTATTTCAGCACAATTTGTAATATAATTTATTCATCACACAGACATTAGTTTGGTATAGTCTGAAAATGATTTTTAGGAAAATAAAAGATAACACAAAACAACATTAGAAAACCTGATATTTTGGAGCAACTGTTGGTTTGTTATCTGAATTCCACTTACATCTTATTTTTATTTCAGCATATTATGGGGGTATAGATGTTTAGGTTACGTATGCTGCCCCTGCCCCCCTCGCCCCCCCAAGTCCGAGTTTCAAACATGTCCATCCTTCGGGTGGTGTGCATTGCATACATCTTATTTTTAACTTGAATATCTTTTCTTGTTCCCCTAGTCTCCAATAGTAATACCAAGAAAAGATCTATTCTTTTTGGTAAACCATGAAGGAAAACAAACGAAAAAGGACAGTTTTTTTTTAAATAAAATGTATCTAAATAGTAACAGAACATAACTAGTTCAGCTCATGAGTTATGCACCTATTTAGCAGTAAATTCAATGTTTAGAACATGTACTGAAAAGCTAAAGACATAGTTCTTTAACTTCGACGTGTAATTCAACTCTCCTTGCAACAACATACTTTGTCTTCCTGCTCTCTTTCTGAGAAATCAGAAACCTGCCTGCATAAGCCATTTTAGACACTCCTACCTCAGAAACTTCCCCCTGCAGCTGTCTAGATTCCTATAGGACAGTGACAGCTCTGTAGTGACAACATTTAGGTGTGAAAATGCTTGCCCTTAGTTCAAATATAATCATCATCTGAGACAGATTACTCTTTCTCATAGAATGAATAAATCTGTAATTCTATTTCAAAGTTACTGAAAGCCGACCCCCTGAACGCATGATGCGTGACTCCTATTAAGTGTTAGCAGGAGGTGGCAAAGGTCCCATTCAGAATCCCAGCTACCCTGTGAATAGGGTCAGCGCAGCACTTCTAATGGCAATAACTCCTGAGTTCTGAAGCAGCAAGAGATGCACCAGATCCCTGTGCTGGGTGGTGCCCGGATTTTGGAAACAGACACACCTGCGTCCAGATCTCGGCTTCTCCATTTGCTGTCTCTGTGACCTTGGGCTAGGAAGCTATTTACACTCTGGGCACTATCACAGTGCCGTGCCTAAAGTAATGCTCAATAAGTCACAGTCACGTAAGAAACTTGACGTATTTCAGCCAGAATGGGAGGGATGAGGACACAAAGCCCAAGGTGGTAAACAGTACTTAAAAATAAAAGGATGGGGAAGGATTTCCCCCAGAGGGAAATTAACAAGTTCTATTAAGCAGAGTCCCTTGGCGGGCAAACACCTACAAATGGCTATATCCAAAATGACAAAAATCATACAATTTTATAGCGGGCCGCATATTCTTTTATAGTTTACCTTCGTAACAATTAGAAAACAACTAGATCATTTTAGAAAGTGCTTGGTAGTACCTCAGGCGTGCCACAATCACAGTCCTCTCCCATTTCTACCACCTGGTTTCCACAGACTGGGATGGATATGATATCTGTAGGCAATGGAACATCAGAGAGGCAATTTGATAATTTATCTTCAAAGAACTTGTCATAGCTGACACGGCTGCAGGAACTGAAGTCTGCGGGTACATGGAAGCTGTAAAGATAAGAAAAGAAAAAAATGAAACACAGTCATGCTTAGCAGGTGGGGAGCAATACCTGACATTGGGTACAATGACACTCATGACCTGCCTCCACTCTACTGACCACTGCTAAATCATGGGCTCCTTTGTTTGCCTGAATTAACTCACCTGGGTGGACACAAACACCTCCAGCCTTATGAGAAAATATGGTCATATTTCAAAGTGTAGCATCCTGGCCACTTTTAATAAAACCAGAATGCCTCTGAGTTCTCCAGATAAATCTTATTTTGGGGTTGTGAAGTACTAAAGGTAGAAAAATTGTATTCATTTACATATCTGAAAATTCACTTTCCTTTAGAGGAATTCCTACTGACAGAATCTCTTCATCCCACAAATAAAGATGAAGTTTAAAAATGCAGTAATATTGGGGAGGGGAAACATAAGCTATGTAACAGGCATGCAGCCATGTGCTACTTTGTGAAGGGGCTTGGGAGAATAACTTTAGCTGGGTGGGCTGGGGGAGGAAATGCAAATAGAAAAGAGGAAATGAACGGAATTCATAAAATGAGTTCTATGAATAGAAAAGATGAAATGAATATATTAAAGAAAAGATTATGAGATTTCCAAAGTTAACGTTGTCTGGAAATTTTGCCAAAGGCAAGACACGAATGTGTACTCTCTTTGTGACTATCTTCATCCTCCTGTGAGAAGTTTCTTCTTTGATTAAGGTTTTCTCCTAGAACCCTTTTCCTGTTTCTACCCATTCTGAATTCACGGGAAACATGATAAATGCTAATGACTTTCTGAAACCAAGTCTTGTGTAGATAAGATGAGGATAAAATGAAGAGTTGGCCCAACAATGAAAAGACAATGTGTTTAAACTACATCTTAGTGAATGAAATTGTTACATATAGATGACAAGTATGGTGCCTTGGCAAAGATACACGTTCATTCAATAATTCAAAAACTTGAATGTGTTGTTGAAGATGATTTAAAGAAGGATACAGCCCAGAGTGGCTCGAAACCAGGATACCCAGCATGTTCCCAGAGAGCCTCACCTTAGTGCTCTGTCCATCACACACTTTACAGAAGGGCACTTGCAATTATAGTCGTCGTGAAACATTCCAAAGTTGTGGCCCATTTCGTGGGCCATTGTCGCCGCAACACTAAGATGATTGCCGCTGTGGTCCTAAGGGTAAGAATGGGGAAATGGATTCTCTGGTTTTCAAATGGAATCATGACCATTTTCATGATCATTCTTCCTGTTGTGCAATAGAGTAGAATAGAACGATCAATTTTAGCTCCAGCCTTCTCACCCTTCTCTCTAACACACACACACCCCACTTTGATATAGAATAGGTAACACAGCGTATATTGTCTGCCATTTGCTCTGGTAAGTAGGTTCCTATAATAAGGGAAATTGCTCTGGTTTTCTGTATCAAGAGACAATGCCAAAACTCCAGCAGTGATAACTGATCCATCTCCCTTCCCCTTGGCTTGCCTTTCAATACTTCTAAATTAATTTTAGAAGTCTTTGATGTGTTTGGCCAATAGAGATCTAAAATTGTTTGTTAACCTGGCACTCTAGCAGTGTTGGCATCTTCCTCAATTCCTTTTACTGCCAAGACTAGACGTCAGTCAATTTCAGACGTGCCCACGTTGCACGAGGTCCAGCCAACAGCTCACTGCATCACCGGCTTGTTTCTGATTTGAGGTGCTTGGACTAGCGGCTCCATGTTATCCAGGAGCAATAAAACAATGCGGGAGAATCACTGCTGGTTATAGTTTCCTATTGAGGAGACGGGAATCTCCCGGTAACATCCACCTACAGAAACCTGATTCCCTCATCTGCTTCATCTCAAAGAACCAAATGTAAAGGTCAATGAAAAGCGGCACAAGAGTGGCAAATGAGGAACAGCTGTGTACGATGGACAGCTACTACCTACACCTGGGATATTCTCTTATTCTGTTGAGATGAACGTGGCAAACCCTACCATATAGCAATTTGGAGCTCTCCAAATGGGGGGAAAATGCAAGCCAAAAATCTTAAGAAACAGGAAATGCATTTAGAGGCTTTTCAGATTGTCTTATTTGAAGTTCCTTTCAATTTAGGGTTTCTTCATTTAAATAATGATTTTCCTAACTTAAATGGTTTCTTCCCTTTGAGTGACCTCCAATCCTCTTCCCCCTCTCAACCCTGCTTTCCCTTTGAGGTCCATCTTAATGCGATGTTTCCTGGCCATGTTCACCTCCATCAACAATCTTCTCTCACTGATTCCTGCCATCATTTTCAACTGTAATGTAGCACTAAACTATCTACTACTACATATGTTAGAACAATTGCTTTAAGTAGGCCAGTTTCTCTTCCAATTTTATGGTTATATCTTTCAAGTTCAAAAATAAATATTTTGCTTCTTCTGTTCATCCCATGAAGCAAATCACGAACTCAGACTCTTAAGATATTCACTAAAGATATATTGGTTCCATTTCTATCCAGGATCTAGAAATCTAGAAAAAGTATTATTCTTGCACTAACAAGGACAAGGCAGATAAACTTAAAAATTATAACTTCCCTTGAATCCACCAGTCTGGTGGGGGTATAAGACATCGACAGAGGCTGTGAAAATATATTAAAAATGAAAGCAAGATAAAGTCATTCTCTAACAAAACTGAAAGAATTTACTGTATTATCAGGAATGTTAAAAATAAAAGTTCTTCTGGAAGGAAAAAATATGATACCAGATAGAAACTTGGATTTTTACAAAGAAATGAGGAATGCTGGGAATGCCATAAAGTAAAGGTAACCATAAAAAAAAAAATTTTAATTGTGATGAAAGATGACTCTCTAGAGCAAAACTAGTAAGAAAGTATTGTGTGTTTACAGTGTATGTAAAGTTAAACACATCATAATAATAGACTGGAGGAAGGAATTAGAGGTCTTCTCTTATAAAGTCCTTACACTACATGTGAAGTAGTGTAATATGATTTCAAGGTAAACTGACAAGCAGAGATGTATGATAAACCCCAGATCAACCATTAAAAACAAAGTGTTATCAATGAAAAGCTAAAAATGGAGATAAATAAAATTATTTTAAAAATACTCAATTTATCTTAAAGAAGGTAGAAAAAACACCAAACAACCAAAGATTAGATGGAAGATTTTGGCTCAACAATATCAATAATTATATTACATATAAATGATCTATATATGCCAAATAAAAGAGATTAACAAATTAGATAAAAAAGTAAAAAAAACTTAAGTACCTATTTTCTACCAGAAACTTTCTCTAAATGTAAAGAAATATATTGGTTAAAAATAAAAGAAAAAGGATGGATCTTGCAACATTAGTGACAAAATGTTAAAGTAACTGTGTAATATTAAACAAAATAGACTTAAGTATAAGAAATATTTCATATATATATTTCAGGATCACGACATGATGAAGAAAGGGTCAGTTCTACAAGAAGACATAACGATTGTGCTTATCTATATACCTACAACCCAACTTCAAAATACATGAAGTAAAAATGTCTATATTGACAATTAAAAGAAGATTTAATCAAGTCCCATTTGTTTATTTTTGTTGTTGCTGTAATTGCCATTGGGGTCTTAGTCATAAATTCTTTGCCTAGGCCAATATCTAGAAGAGTTTTTCCTACATTTTCTTCTAGAGTTCTAATGGTTTCATGCCTTACGTTTAGGCAAATCTATAATTATACTTGGGTAGTCCAATATTCTTTCTTGCCCTTAGCATTTAAAAGATCCAAGCAATGTAAATTAACTTGACATAATGGACAATTTTAGAATACTCCATTCAACAACAGAAGACACATTCTTTTCAGGTGTCTATGGGGCACTGACCAAGAACAAACAAAAATAAAAATTTAAATATTAAAATTCTACAAGTATCTTCCATACCATAACAGAATTAAACAGAATATCTATAATGGAAATCATTATGCCACACTTGTATGTAATGTATGGGTCAAAGAAGAGATCAAAACACATAAGTGTACATATAAGAATAACATCTATTGGATGTCGGGGAGGGGGGAGGGAGAGGGGGATGAGGGGACGGGTATATGCATACACAAAGAGTGCAATGCGCACCATCCGAGAGATGGACACGCTTGAAACTCGGATTTGGGGGGCGGGGGGGCAAGGGCAACATACGTAACCTAAACATCTGTACCCCCATAATATGCTGAAATAAAAAAAAATAATAAAACAAAAATAAACACATCAACCAAAAAGAAAAAGAGATCAAAAGAGAAATTAGAAAATATTTTGAACCGAACAAAAATAAAAGCACAAAGTATTTGAGATGCAACTCAAGCTGTGCCTAGTGGGAAATTAATAGCATTAAAAGAGAACAAATTAGATGCAGAATCAGCATAAAAAAGGAAATAATCAAGAGCAGAAATCAATAAAATTGTGAACAGGAAAACCATAGAGAACATAGATGAAACCAAAAACTGTTTCTTTGAGAAGAACAATAAAATTGATAAACCCCTAGCCAGATTGACCACAAAAAAAGGACATACAATATTATAATACCATGGGTGAAACAGGGGATATTACCATAAATTATATAGATATTAAAAGGATAATAAAGGCTATTATCAACAAATTTGTGCCAAGTTAAAAAAAATGAACAGCTTTCCTTAAAGACACAAACTACCAATGCTCACTCAAGTAGAGACATCAATAGATAATCTGAATTGAAGAAATTAAATTTGTAGCCACAAAGAAATTAAAAATCTAGCCACGGTTTTACTGGTGAATTGTATCAAACATTTGAGAAAGGAATAATACCAATTCTACCCCAATATTCCAGAAAATCAAAGTGTTGGTAAAATATCCAAACTCATCTTCTGCAGCCAACTTTACTATGATAACAAAACCTAAAAACACACACTACAGGAAAGAAAACTACAGGCTAATATCCCTCATGAATATAGATGAAGATATCTTAGCATGTTGAATGAAACTATATATAAAAAGACAGCACATTATGACTATGTTGGGTTTATCTTAGAATGCAAGATCAGTTCAACATTTGAAATTCAATCAATGTTATTTACCATGTTAACAGACTGAAGGAGAAAACTATAATAATTTTCTTCAGAGATTCAGAAAATAAAAAGCCTTTGGCAATTGTGAATTATAGAACCAACAGTTTATATTCAAACAAACCTGAATAATGCCAACGGAATGATAAGGAGAGCACATTGTAGACATGAAAGCAAGGCCCACGGTCGTTCCAGAAAGTTCTTTTGCCCTGAAAGGAACGAATTGATATAACAAATGATGATTCTATGCTGTATTTTGTATAGACAATTCATCCAGAACTCTGAATGGTTAGAAGAAAAGCTCCTACTGTGAACTATCACTCTTAAATTTTTCCTTCAGTTTTTGAATTTGCACAAGGCATTTTTTCTATAGAATGGCACTCATATATCACGTAAAATCCAAACGCTTCAGTGTAATCGTGTTTAATATTTTATACCTATCATTATTATTATAATATCTTTCATTGTGGAATTTATCTCTTATCAAGAAAAAGAAAGCCCTTTTTTGGTCCTAATAAATATTTCTCTATATATACCTTGTTTTGATATTACTATTGCCGCTCATGCTTTGTTTTAATTTATATTTTACTGACATATTTTTATATAATTTATTTTGTTTTCCTTTAGCACTATTTCAGCTACAGTAGATTTAGGGTTTGGGCCCATTTTTCAAGTATTTGTGTTACTGAGCATTTATGTTATTCAAATAGTTTTCCTATTGAAGAGGGATTTGGACAATTTGTACTTATTTACATAGATGGTATGTTTGGCCATTAGTAATTTTAACTTTTGTTTCTTTTCTTTTTCATTAATTTTTAATAATGTCATGCTCTTTCCTTTACCTTTGTTCTTTTTTATCTGTGCAAGATTCTGGTCCTTATTTGGCTTTAGAAATTTGCGAAGTATGCATCAATTTTTTAATTCCCCCAGTAGATGCATTTACATGAAAAATTGAACCTATGTTTTCCCACAAAACAACATTAAGAATGGAGAATACTGATTCTGGCACGCAAAATGAGAAAATTAGAGAACTTCCTCCCACTTTTCACTCCCTACAGATTTTATCACTTTATTCAATCTGATTTCAGGTATTTATTTTGAAATTTTTATATTTTACATTATACATATTTTAAAGACTTATGACATTTGTATTCCTTTTTGCAATCATATCGTAAAGTTATTTATACTTAATGCTATATTTGTGTGATTTCAATTCTCACCATTAGCTCCTTTATAAAAAATAACATCTTCCCCCATTCTGGAGTTATCTACTTTGATTTCTTTTTTCAGTAGGTAAATTTGGACTCTAATATTCTTACCTGGTTATACCTAGGTATAGGTATCTTTTGTTAATTTGTCTGGTAATTGGTAAGAGTTTCAATTTATAAATGGAAGGACAGATATTTCGTTCCATCATATCTTTATATCTTTAGTGCTTTTATCCTTTCTTTTTTTGATTTCTTCAAGAAATCTACTCTCAATATTGTATTGCCATTTTTTTACCTGTACATATATCATCTTGTCTATGGATTCTATCTTTTTACTCTATTAGTCGACAATATGGGAATATACAACAATTTGACTGGCTCTGGAGCCAGTCTGGTAAGAGTTCAAGCTCCTTCCTTCTTACTAGCTACAGACCCTGGAAAATAACTAAACCTCTCTGCAAAGAATGGGCTCCATCCTGTGGTGTCTCTTTGAGTCTAGAACTCGTCGTTTCCAAATTAAGGAATTGTCTCAGCTATTCCCCATAGATGGCCCTCCAATGAGCTAGCCTTACAGTATTCACAGCTTGGGTAGTGTCTTTCCCTGAAATTCAGGTTGCTAGACACTTGCTCTTGATTAAGAGAATATACCAATAGTGATACTGTGTGGCTTTAGGTCATAAGAAACCTTGATGCATTCTCCTGGGCCTCTTGGCTTGCTTATTCTGGGGAAAGCTAGCTACCTTGCAAGAAATCGAACCCCCCGAGACTGCCATGCTGCAGGAAGTCCAAGTTGGGCACATACAAGGCTGTATGCAGAGAGCCATCACCAACCAGCCCCACTGCTCCAGCCACACGAGCCCAGATGCCAGACATGTAAGTGAAGAAGCCTTATTATAAGCCCAAAAGATCTGGGCTGATTTGTTATGCAGGAACAGATGACCAAAATAGAAGTATTAATTGATTCTGACAGGACATAGCTCACTGATTTCCCATAACACTCATTGCTTTCTTAGGTAGGGGACACTCCAGTAACTTGAAGTCAGTCCTTGCTGCTTCCTTCTGATTCCAACTAAATACTCTCCAGCTATCCAGCAGCATTTCCTTGATTTTTTTTTTTGAGGCATACGCTCAAGTCTTATGTAATTACAGCCATTAGATTCATTTCCCCTGTTGTTTTTAATTGATCATTTCAGCAGAATAGCAGAGGTGTGGGGTTAGAGTATAATACTCAATTTTCCTTCTATAAGTTTGGCCTAACTAGAGCCTAAAGCCAATCAGTTCTTTTTAATCATTGAATTGAAATCCCTCTTTCCATTATCTGAACTTGTATTTCCTTCCTGTATACCCAATAAAAACAAACGTTTTATGAATCATTGCTAAATTATTGGCTTCTCTTTAAAAAAAAAAAGAAAATATTTGAATCAAAAGCATATATGACATATGATCAAAGTGAATGTTTTTTAAAACTTCTAATACTCTATGTGTGTACCCACCTTTTCCAAGGCTTTGGAAAGCTTCTCCGTGTAGTGTGCAAAAGGGAAAATCTATACATACGTGATTAACTGAGCAACATCATGATGCTTTCTTCTTAAGAGGTCACTCCCCCTCCATTTAGAAAAATTTTCCAAGGTGACGTTTGCATTTGGGTTTATGTTTATCTTATCCTCGTCAGTCCAGATTTCCATACCAACTAAGACCACATGAGAATCGAGCTTTCTATAAAGCTGTCCAAACAGAATACATAGCAAAGTAATGACTTATACTGGTGATATTATCTTTTAATATTACTAATGTACTTTATATTTTCACACATTCATAACAGCACTATAAAACCTTCTTTCCAAATGTGCTTGTGAAACAGAAGTTACCATCTATTTTTGCCAACACTAAAATGCCCATTCAAAAGGAAAGGCACACACTCTTAGATATTTTAGGTCTGTAAACTCCTCTTACTAGAGCCAAGGCCCTATTAAGACAAAATTTCCCTGCTGGGTCCTCAAAAAATACTGTAATTTTGTGTTAGCAGCTCATTACTCTGGCTTCATTTTAAGCATATTTACTCACACATTTTTCAATGCTCTTAGTCATCATATTTCAGAATTTTCAACATTGACTCAGTGCTGGTTTGGGCATTAGAGAAGTACCATGTGACAATGTCCTACATCAATGAATTGCAATATGGTAAGTGCTTGATACGGTCTGAATGTTTATGTACCCCCAAAATTCATTTAACTCCCAAGGTGATGAGGTGATGGTATTAGGAGGTGGACCCTTTGGGAGGTGATGAGGTCATGAGGGTAGAACACTCACGAGTGAGATCAGTGTTCTTATAAAAGAGGCCCCAGAGAGCTGTCTTGTCCATTCTACCACATGAGGACACAGTGAGAAGGCAGCTATCTATCTGCAAGTCAGGAAGAGAGCTTTCACCAGAAACCAAAGCCTGGCAGACCTTGATCTTGGACTTCCCGGCCTCCAAATTCATAAACAATAAATTATGTTGCTTATGAGCCATCCAGTTTATGGTATTCTGTTATAGTAGCTTGAACAAATAAGACAGTGGTCTTCTAATTCTTAAACCTGGACTGAACTAAATAACGCACACACATATGAGATAAGCTTTAGAAATAGTAAGTCTACGAGACCACATGTTTGCTCTAAAGATAAAAGCTTAAGTTGCTACTCTAGGATCGACAAGTGCACAGTGACAGACCTTCCATGAACAACTTTCTGCTGAGAAACCTGAACAAAATTTTCTTTAAAAAAGTAGTTTGGAAAGCAAGGAAAGCATGGGGGAATAGAATTCTCAAAAGAAAAAGAAAAATCCGAGCGCATTATACTTCTTGATTATTCCCTCGACTTCCTTGTTTCTTTCTTGCTTTACTTTACTTGACAACCCCCCAAACCTGGTGAAAATGAACTTTTCTCTGTGTCTCTCCTCCACCATGCCTTTGAACACAGGGGCAAACACACATTATGCTGACTGCTCTCACCTCGAAGCCATGACTGCTAACCTCAAGTGGCCCCCAGCAAACTTGCCGCATTTCCAAATCCCATTCACTCTCAGTCTTCTGCTCATCTTTTTTACACTAACTCCTCTTTCTTAGTAGAGCTGTCGTTCTCACCAAATCCATCGCCATTGCTTTTTCTCAAGCCACCGCCATCTCTTGCTCTGAACTGTGGCACGATTCTCCTGCCTGGTCTTTTGCTCCTGCCTTTGCTTCCCTTTGGTTTATTTTCAACACGATTGCCCATGTAATCTTTTAAGAACACGCATCTGAACGTATCCTGTCTCAGCTCAGGCTCTTCAATGTCTTCTTCACTCATGGCCAGTAACAGTGAAAGTCCTTACTGAGGCCTAGCAGGGTATTCAGGGTCTGGTCACTTCTGCTTGTCAGATATCATCTCCTCTCATCCTTGCCGCGGCTTACTACGTAGCCACAGTGGCCTGCTTGCTGTTCCTCAAACCTGACAAGCTAGGTTCCGACCACAGGGTCTTTGCTCTGCCTGGCACACCCTGCATGTGCATTCACTAAAAAACTCTGTGATACCTCCAAATTGTTTATAATTACATTTAATAAAATATTTCATACCATGTTGATGTAATTGGCCATCTCAAACACCCTCTTTCTTATTTCGTCTGTATTTTCATTGTACTTTTTAAACTAAAAAAAAACAATTAAGAGAGAATATGGCCATTAATAGAAATTCATGTAATTAGAAGATTAAAAAAAAAGGCAACCTCACTTACATTACAGTGGTTATAATTAAGGATCAGTTAGTAAAGTTAACTATTCAAAGTTAGAAATTAATTGATCCTATTACTCCAGCTAAATTAAAGCACTTTCTGAGTGAAGATACTGTTTTCTCCCTTGAAGTATTAGCTCAGTACAAAGCTCTAAGGAATTATTCCAAATGTATTTTTACCTAAGTTCCATGGTTTCCTAAGCTGTGCACAATCAGTGCAAGGAATATCTCGTTAATTTAAAAAATATATATGAACAGTAAATGAATTCAGTACAATAAGAAAGGTCAAAACTTTAGGGCCCGAACTAATTAATGTACTCATGTTTTCACATACACATGGACTTTGAGTTTAGAAAATCCAGTATATGAAAATGCATTCCTATAATAGAAGGTAAATTGTGACTATTACCAAAGATTTGCCTTTTTCAGAAGATTCTATTCACTCTAGACTTTTACATTTACTACTCCCTGATGAGAATAAATTCTAATTTACAAATGATTTAAAAACTTAACACAATACAAAGTGACAAAAGAATTTAATTGGAAATTAAGTTTGGATCTCTTTTTTATTTTTGGATCTCTTAAGTTAATCAGACAATAGAACTATAGGACCAACAATTCAATTTGGTTTATTTGAATAAATAACCAAAGTGATATCACATCACTTGCACTCACTTCTCTGCAAGGGAGAAATCATATCAGCGTAACTATAAATGTTCAATTTCGTAGGTTCAGAAAAATTTGTGACCATAGTTCATATTCATGATTTTTCAAATCTAATCCAAACATGTAATATCTCACATATTAAATAAATGTATGTAGAGGGGTTAAAAGACACATTTATCTGATATAATTACCTCACCATTATCCAGGACCAAATAATATTCTATGTATCTCTTACGTTTCTGAACATTCTGGTCATTCGATTTCTGAAATATAAGGAGGGTAATTACTGAGACGACATCTTTCTCTGTAAGAGTTCTTCTTTTATTTGACATATGTGATTTAATAAGAGGTTGATTGATATCTGGGAGTAAAGACAGACAATATTATCATTTTAACTCTCAGCCAACAGCCAGGATTATCTATAGACAAGGCTCAGAATGTAAGAGCTAGAAGGGAAATTCTGGTCTGTCCCCTTCATTTTACCAGAGTTTAAATGATTAGTAATTAATAGGGGAACTGGAAATAAAGCAACATCTTTGGGTTTTTTGAACAGTAGACTTTCCTCATCATTGTGCCACAAAATAGAGAAACTTTGACTTCAGCATCTTCCCAGTGTTTTCTTTTTCTGAGGGGCGGTGCAGGTAGCCTTTTATTCCTATCCTGGTGAATACTCTCTCTTTGACGGATGGTGCAATGCTCAGAGCAGCCCCTGCTGCTAGTCTGCTTTCTTCTCTTCAGGCAGAGCTAGATCTCCTTCCCATGTTGCAAGCTCCCCTATTTTTCGCACTTGTCTCTCAAAAAAAAAAAAATTTCATAGTGGATCGTCCCATTGAAAAGTAGCAGGTACCTTATTCCTGCTAAATAATAAACCATCCCATTTCATTGCTTTTCTGGAAGTGCATATCTTTTAGTGGTGACTAAGCTTCTATTACCAAGAACAAGTTACTGAAGTTAGACTTTTAGATATTATCTAACGAGATATGCACTTAATTCTCACCCTCCATAAGAGCAAAATATTTATTAGTATTTACTACACACTGAGAGTGTTCTGGGAACTAGGAACACAGCAGTGAAATAGACATGGTCCATCTGCTTAAGAAACTTGCAAGAGACAAACATATTAATACAGATATCAACTGGTGGTCACTGCTATGTGGATGATTACAACGGACAATGTGATATTGAGTGACTGGGTAGTTATTTCGGAACAGAGGAAATTCTCTAAAGCATTGGCCCTTTGCAGACATATTGATGAAATTGAGAAGTCAGGCGAGGGAAAGATAAATCAGAAGATAATTCCAGTAGAGAAAAAATTTAGTAAATAGACTCTAAGGTGAATTGACATTGGCACGTTTAAAGCACAGAAAAAATAGTTTGTGCTTTTGAGAACCTAAGTGGGGAGGTCATCAGTAGGAGGCGACAGGAGAGGTGGATGCAGGGGTCTGTAACCCATGGTCAGGTTCTTAAATTTGTTAAAACTGGTTTTCTGGCCTACCATCTGGTCTACCCTGGAGAGCGTTTCATGTGCACTGGAGAAGAATGTGTATTCTGCTGCTATAAAATGGAAAGTTCCATATGTATCTGTTAGGTTTGTTTTGCCTAAAATGCAGTTCAATTACAGTGTTTTCTTATTACTTTTCTGTCTGATTGATCTGTTCATTATTTCAAGTGGGGAATTAAAGTCCCCTACTATTACTGTATTGCTTTCTATTTCTCTTTTCATGTCCATTAATATTTATTTTATATAGTTAGATGCTCCAACGTTGGGTGCACACATATTTAAAATTGTTATTTCTTCTTGAGGAATTGAGTTCTCTATGATTAAATAATGACCTTCTTTGTCTCTTGTCACAGTTTTTGACTTGAAGTCTATTTTATCTGATATAAGTGTAGCCATCACTGCTCTGTTTTGGTCATCTCTTTCATGAAATATCTTCTTCCATCCCTTTGCTTTCATTCTATGTGTATTCTTAAGGCTAAAGTGGGTCTCTTGTAGGCAGCATATAATTAAACATTGGGTTTGTTTTTTTTTTTTATCCATTCAGCCACTCAGTTTTTTGATTGGAGAATTTAATCCCTTTATATTCTAAGTAATTATCAATCATAATTGCTGCCATTTTGTTAATTGTTTTCTGGTTGTTTCATAGATCCTTTTTTCCTTTCTTCTTTCCTTGTTTATCTTTGTGATTTGGTGATTTTTCTGCAGTGCTAAGTTTTGATTCCTTTCTCTTTATTGCTTGTATATCTGCTGTAGATTTTTGCTTTGTAGTTACCATGGCACTTACATAAAACAGCTTACAGTTGTAATAGATTATTTTACATTCATAATAACTTTAGACACATACAAAAACTCTAGACTTTTACCCTCCCCCTTGCAGTTTATATTTTTGATGTAACAATTTACATATGTTATATTATGTATTTCTTAACTTACTGTAGCTATCATTAGTTTTGACTGATTTGACTTGTAACCTTCATATTAGAGATACATGTGATTTATAGAGCACCATAATAGTATTGGAATATTTTGGATTTGACTATATATTTACCTTTACCAGTGAATTTGCTGGGAGAATTTAAACCTGCAACAAATTGAACCCACCAGGAATTTTATTCAGACCAATTCTGCCCAGTGCCTAGAGATTCTAAGAACATTTAGAAGAGATGGTTGGATTTGAAATAGATCCTGAAGGAAATGAAAGTAATAATGGCAAAGATACTTTGATACGCACTTTACACTTTAAACACAAAGGCGCATTTATTTTCCTCCTTTGACTAGAATTCCATACATAAAAGAGTATTCTAAGTTCCTGTAGGCAGATTCTGTGTCTATTTTGCTCACTTCTATCTTCCCAGTATCTATGGCAGAACTTTAAAAGAGATTTGTTGAATGCACTCATGAAGAAAGCAGGATGTTTTATTTCAAAATAATAATAATTGCTTTTTGGCCTTTTGGCTAAGATCAAGTGCAAAATAATAATAGTACTGTATACCTTTGTGGTTTGTTGTAGAAGACAGAGAGTATTGTGACAGTTGCCTACTCCTAGAGAACAGGTATTTTATTTTACACTTCTTTTTAACCCTTACACATCATTGACAATAATAGTTGATTCATAAGCACTTGCTAAATGAATCATCAATGTCTAGCAATGATTTAGAATTAGTGTCCTTATAACGCATTAATTTCAGCAATGACTGTAAAGTTTCAGTAAATTCACTGCTAAGACTGGAACCCAGGGAAACCAGCACAGGACATGTGAGAGCATCACAAATAAGAAATAAAGTTACACATACGACCAGTCTGGTGGCAGAGAGGTCAACATTCTCCAGCAATCCATGTGCCCATAACACATCATCCATCCCACAGGTGCTGTTGTCATTCTCTTCACTGGGATCATACTTGAAGAGTGCATGCTCCTGTCCATCCTGATTTGTGGGGCTTAAAGGTTCAATAAAGTACCTTTGATCTCCTTGGCTGAAGTAGCCCCTGGAAAACATGAGAATTCAGGCTTCTTAACAAAAGATTCTTGCATTAGTGTTATACAGCTATATAGGCTTCAAAAAGGGACCTTATAAAGTTTCTAGTTTAAGCTCATGGCAATAAAATACAGTAAAACTTATAGCAGAAGATGACTTAGAGATCACCTACACTTATTTTCTAAGGAAATCAGATCTGTTGGGGAGAAGTGATTACTGCAATATCATACAGCCAACCAAGTCAGCTATGGCACAACAATAGACACTTCCTGACTTTCAGTCTGGTGTTCTTCCAATTTTTATGCTATACTTGCTCTAAAGGTGCACTAGAAATGAAAGAATCTTTAGACTTTTATAAGGCTTAAACTCTGGGTCTATCACTTATTAGCTGTGATACCATGGGCTACCTGATAGGATGATGGTAAGTATTGAAAGAGATAACATGTAAAGCACATGATAAATGAATATTACCAATTTCTTCTCAATTCTCTCTGCAGAAGTCCTGAGCCAAGATTCATTCAACCGATATTAAGTGAGCACCCATTAGTCACTACCCATTGGATTAGAGGAAGACAGTAAAAAAGAGACACGGTCGTTTTCCTCATTGAACTTATGTTCAAATGAGAAAGATAGATGTATATCAAATAATCACAGAATATATATAATCATACAGTAAATGCTTAATATATATAATTACAACAGATCATTGGTATGTAATAGGGAGACTGGAGTAAGTGTACATATGATTAGACGATAGCGAGAGTGGATGTGGGAAGATAAATTATATGGTTTATTGCAATGATTTGCATAAAAGAGTATGGTAATTAAACGAGGTTGTAAGTAGAGACAGAATGCAGTGAATGATCTTAGGAAATATTTAGAAGATATACTCAGCAAGGCTTGATAAAGTGCTGAAAATGGGGGACTGAGACGGGAAGGCTCCTCGAAAAATTTAGATTTCTGGATTGGGCGAGTGGTTATTTGATTATAGCATCAATTAAGATAGAGAACACAGGGAAAATACTATATTTGGGAGTCAATCACTAGTTTGGTTTAGGGCACATTGACATTAATATTTCTTTAAGATATCCAACTAGAGATATGGAAAAGAAAATTAGATAGTCAAGTCTGGGCATCAGAAGAGACATCTTCCTGTAGACAGATATATGGGGAATAATGACAGAGAGAAAGAGATGTCATAGTAATGAAAAATGACAAGCTAGAGAGAGACCTTAAAGTGAGGACAGAGGAGAAGAGCTTCCATTCCCTAAAGATTCTGACTCTAAAACTAGGACTCAAAATCTTATGTTTTGAAAACAAGCAAACAGATAAAAATATCTCTGAAACCAATTCAGATGTGTGATTTACAAACCACTATCAAGGAAAGTGGTATTTCCTCCAAATTTTAAAATGTTATGGTCCTTAGGATTCATACTCAACTATAGTATAATTAATTGTATTTAAGATTCTTCAGCTTTATTAAATACACACACCATAATCACATGTACGTACAAAATACTCCTGAAGTCTTACCTTAGACCCCTACATGTGCTGATGCTAGCATCAGAAACTTTTTCATTAATGATGTGTCCTTGATAGTAACAGTCATCCTAAAGAAAAAGGAAAAAGGGGTTTTATAAGAAAAGTATGTGTACTTTTTAGACCTCCATGTAACGGTGAATTTGAAATCTTGAAACAGAATTTATGATGCTTTCAAACCATTTTCTTCTGAACAGTCAACTTAGAGATGTTTTAAAAATAATTAAATAAAAGCTTTTAATCTTTAATGTTAGTTAATCTTTAATGTTAATGATCCCACAATGCTTATAGGGTATTAACTAAATGTTGGTGTTGCTGAAGTAGGATAAAAATTAATATTGTTTAGAAGAAACAAACTTAGATATGTAAATTTAAAACCTGAGTCCCCCAAACACCAGGCATTCATTCATCTCCTTGGTTGATCACTCAGTAAATTTTTTTCTAACAAAAACCTAAAAGCTCTTTTCCAATGGATGGGTTATTCAGATTGATTTTATTATTATTATTATTATTATCATTTCTTCATTTATCCAAAGAGTTCTGTCAGATTCACTGGATCAGCACAAATTTGGAGCAAAATGCCCATCCTAATATTTTTCCATGTGGATGTTCTATTAAGTATCTTTCTACTTTGGGATAGATAAGATGTTGGTCCATATAAACTCTTGTATCATTGCTATAGAAATGAATGCTTGAAAGGCTTCCACAGAAAACGAAGCTCAGCAAAGGAGACAATGATGAATTATTCCTCACACTGCCACACACTGTCATCCACTCAGTTGGAGCAGAGAGGGGCTCCGAATAGGAGTCAGGAGTGGAAATTATTTAACAAAAGCATGGAATTCTACAATTGCCGTTGAGGACATAGTCTGACTTTGAAAGACCACAGAATCCAGAGAAGTGATAGGAATCGACTGAGAGCACCAGAGGTGCTTAACTCTTCACTGTAAGGAAAATAATATGCTCCTTCTTCCCACCCTTCTACAGGGAGCTCTTGAAGGCTGGAAAAGCTTGCCAGAGTTGTCAAGGAAATGCCTTTGTTCTTGCTAAAATTGTAATACACACACACACACACACACACACACACACACAAAGATCAATTACGTAATTATTACTGGGG